GACTAAAGAAATTGGTAGATCATGTTTCGCAAGAAAGCCGCACATTTTTAATTCCATTTTTAATACATTAGTAGCGTGCGTCTGATTTTTGTTCAAAAAAGTTGACATTCTTCCACATTGCGAAATAACAGCCATCTTTTTGGTGTGTTTAGCACTGTTTTTATGTTTAAGTAATTCGGACATTCCACATACAAGATCACAATCGCATATTTTACAGTAAGCTTTTGTCTCACCTTTATCAGATTTCTTCAGCCAAGTCTTAAAATCAGGATGCTCCAGCCAAGAAGTTTTAAATTTTTGCACGTATTTTCTTTCCTTACTTGCTGACTTTAAAGTCGAAGAGGATGGTGTTTCATTATCTTCTTCCATTTTAAATTACTTACAATTTAATCGAAAAGAAAATTTTTTTTTTTATATTCCAAGGTGCAATTCGGAGTTCAGTATGTAAATGAAACAAAACTAATCAAATCAAGCAAGCCTTGGTAGGTATACATAATATGACTAAGTTCCGACTACATCTAAAACAACGGAACTGATATTATAAATGACAAATTAAAATTGGACGGATTACATTCATTAATAGTACGGGGGATTCCCCTTTCAAAAATAAACCGCGGGCGGTGGCACCATAGAGTTTGTACATACTACAACAGGGTTACCATCATAAGTTTTGATTTTCCCCCGAATTTCCCTAAATCCCTGTCTTATTAAAATAATCCCTAGTCATGTACAATTTCACTTAGTTTTCCCTAAAAAAGGGAAAAATCCCTAAAAGTGGAAACACTGGGAGAGAGCTATGCTCGAGGTTTCTCTGCGTGATATACTTAGGCGTGAGGATATCAGCAGTAGAACCAGAGTGACCGACATAACCCAACGGATTAAACGGCGTAAGCTGAAGTCGCAGTGGGCCGGCTATATAGCTCGAAGAACCGACAACCGATGGGGAAGAAAGGTTCTCCCGTAGCAGCCTCGTACCGGCAGGCGAAGTGTAGTGCATTCCCCAACTAGATGGACGACCTGGTAAGACATGCAGGAAGTCGATATAATTCGTTCAGAATTTATTTATCTTTTTAATTTAACCCGGGAACAAGTGTTTCGTTGAATAACAATTTCCGTTACGCACAGTTTATCACGTGGGTATTTATCTTTATCTAACTGGTATACTTAAATCCGCGTTAACCTAAGATTATAACAAAAGACTGTATAGCGAAATATTCTCTTTGGATTATGATGAACCAAGCGCAGTTAGGGAAATTGAACCCATCAATGGTTTACTCCGCTTTCATATTCTCTATGTGTTTATTGTACGTTATAAGCATAAGCATTAAGCGCCCCTTTGTTCCCATTTCTTGTATAAAATTACAGAGTTGCAGTTAAATAATAATGACTTTTAAAGAATTTCTTTGATATACCTACTAATTTTTTCAATATTGCACGTAGTTTTCCTTTCATTATGACTTTTTAATTTGTTCAGTTAAAATTAAAAAAATTATAACCCGTAATACATGTTATAAAAACTATACAGTAGTTTCTTTTTCTATAGTAGTCTCGGACAGTTTTGTAAAATTTTATTACGTTATCACATGGCATAATAAATTCCACTTGAATGTGTTAAATCATTACCTGTACTGCTTAGATAGTGTTTGATTGAAGTAGTGGTGTTTTTCCAGAAATTATTAAATAATTTTAAATTTAAACCTAAAAACCTAGAATTGATAACAAATACTGCTAAAACTAAGTTACAGGAACTTCAAAGTATACAAAATAAAATCATAAAAATACTTTTTCACTATCCGTATCTAACACCAACTTTTAAATTTTCAGACACAAAACTTATGAACGTTCAACAACTACATATATATATATATATATATATATATATATATATATATATATATATATATATATATATATATATATATATATATATATATATATATATATATAATACTTGCATTATAATTAGGAAAATACTTGATATAACTAACTATCCGTACTAACATGTCATTTGTAAAAAAATTAAACATTTATAAACGCAGTCTTTGTCGATCTAGTTTACTTGTACTACCAAAGCTATGAACAAACGCAAAACATACGCAAAAAAGCATTACCTTTGAAGGAGCACAGATTTATAATAAATTGCCTTGTAATATAAAAAACTAAACTCATTTAGTAGTTTTAGGTCTCAGCTGTCTTTATAATTTAACATTTTTCACCATTAAATTGAGGCGACCATTAGAATAAGTTTACTAAAATGTTGTTATTATTTTCATGTAAGTGTCATTGTTTTTAATTTTTCCCCTTTGTGTTTTTTTTTTTTTTTTTTATATTTTGCTAGTAGGGGCTTGTATTTAACATGTTCGCGCTGGTGTTTTTTTTTGAAAATATTTTTTTAAACGTATACCACGCATGTGACTTTCGTATATTAGTCAGACGAGTATATCATACCTAAGCCACTTTTGAACGTTAGTACGTTCATAACGCGCTTCCTAATTAAAAAAGGAGATTGTGATAAATGTATTGTATGATAGCGATGTTGAGAGAACTACACATATCAACGTGGGAGTCTACAGATGGACATGAAACTATAGATGGGCAGCGTATATTTATGCTAGCAATTAAAAATATTAAAAGACTGCGGTGGCCAACCCACCGGCCAAGCGTGCCAAATATGGCAATTATTACCCCTATGAGCTTATGTTGAGCTGCGGACTTTTGATAGGCTATAATGAATAAATAAACAAATGAATGATAAATAAACAAATGAATGATAAATGTACTGCAGGCATTTATATATTTTTTTGTATATCAATGACTGGAGGTCTTAAAAGAAATACCCTAAGCGGGTATATTTACGAGGGCGGCACTGAAAATTTCGGGAATCAAGGAAATGACACAACATTACTATTTTAAAAATGTATTTATTGCTTTTCGAAGTATTCGCCGCAAAATTTGACACATTTTTCCATACGATGGAACATCTTGAAGCAACCATTCCATTCGGAAGTTGGGGTCTCCAAAATGGCCGTTTTGTAGGCGTCCACAGCTTCTTCAGGTGATGAAAATCTCTGTCCACGCAATTTATTCTTTATTTTAGGGAAAGTATAGAAATCAAATCGGGGCTGTACGGCGGATGGTCTACTAATTCTATGTTTTCTTGCTCTAAAAACTCTTTTGTTGTGTGTGCGGTGTGAGAACTCGCATTGTCGTGATGGAGGATGATGCGGCGGTTGCAGTTCTCTTTACGGAGTTCAGAAACGACCTGTGGCAAACAAATGCTTCTGCATTAACCGTTTTTTGTCCCTCAAGAGGAATAGTCGTAACATGGCCGGTTTTGGAGACAAACGTGGCCACCATTTTTTTTGCAATACTCCGTGAACGAACAATTTTTGTTGGCTTTAACTCATTTTCGAAGACCCAAACTCGTGACTGGTTTTTTGTTTCGGGTTCGTACGCGTATATCCAGGATTAGTCACCTGATACGATGTTTTGAGGATCCTGCGTGGAATCTTTCGAGAGTTCTGACGCACCAAGTAACGCGTGCCGCTTTTTGCTCGTCACAGAGCGAATGCGGTGTCCACCGGGAAAACAACTTTTTACACCTAATTGTTCATGCAAGATTATTTGTATTTGACTCATGCCAATGTCTAAAGTTGCCTGAATTTCGCGGTATGTCACATGTCGATCTTCCTCAATAAGCTTACGCACAGCATCAACATTTTCTTGGGTGACTGCAGTTTTTGGACGACCTTGACGGGGATCATCACTGAGCTTGACACGTTCACGTTGAAATTCAGCAAACCAGCGATAAATTGTGGTTTTGGATGGGGCTTCATCACCAAATGCAGAAATCATCCTGTCAACACACTGTTTTTGTGTTAAACCACTTCGAAATTCATAATAAATCATCGCTCTTGAATTTTCTCGAGTCAATTCCATTTTCTCAACGACTAAACAAGTTTTACAAAACCTTGTGACAACACCGAGAATCTTTTTTGAAATAAATAAATGGTATTCGATTTTTAAAACCAAGGAGTTTTCAATTAAAAAGATTTTAATATGACAGGAACGGTTGAAATATTCCATTCCCGATACTTTTAGTGCAGCCTAGGTAGGACAATAAACATTATTATTATTTATGTAAAGATTCAAGAAGGCGAAAGCGTCAAAGCTTTTTCAACGTAATCGGGCACGAATAATTTATTGAATTGTGTAGATTGCATTCTGTCAAATCCGATGTTTTCATTTAAGTTAAATATGCATTCTTGATAATTTTTCTCCTAATAAAATATTATTTAACCGCGCCCTTTTGTTTGTTTGTTAAGAGATAAGCAAACCGTATTTTTTTGATGTTTGGGCAAAGAGGTCACCATGGTAAGTCGTATACTCAATAGGCGTTCGCTCTCGGTCTGATTCTGAGGATTCTGAATTCAATGTAGTGTTTTTTTTTTATAGAATGAGGATGAAAAACGAACACTCAGTCCACCTGATGTTAATGGATGGATGCTGTGGTCAATAGATATCTACATCGATCCTCGATTAAGAATCAAAACGTAGATGCGTTGTCACCCCTGAGGACTAAGGTCAAATGCCTCGTTTCCAGTAAAAAAGTGTCTCCGGATCTCTACACTCACCATACGAAACACAGTAGCGTTGAGCTGCTATTTTACGCTGGTATTCTGTGAGAGCGTGGTGCTTCCCCGGTCGATCCGACCCATTCGTGCTACAACCATAATAAGTGTCTTTTATATCCAATTTTGCTTGCTTTCCTAAATGCTAATTAGGATACCTCAACTTATTATAGTGTAATGTTTGTCGATGTTCTCACTAACGAGTGTTATGGTCAAAATATATTTGTAATTTGGAGATTTTTATGAATAACACCGCTTAAAACATTACTTAATAAAATTCTATTAATGCAAATCGCCTTTGAGAGGAAACATTGCGAATAAATTAATGCGCATTCATTTACATTTTGTGATTTGCTATAACATTTGCAGAGAGCGTGGAGCAAGAGTCAGAGCCGGTGAGCCGTGACGTGGTCACCTTCAACTGCACTGTAGCGTACATGTCGCAGTGCATGTCGTGCGACAAATGCCGAGCCTCTTGTCGATCCATGGGCTCCAATAGTTTTAGGTAAGTACGCAATATATATGACTAATATATAAGAGCCATTTCAACTTGCGAAATAAGCGCTCGCCTGCCGTGCGCGTGCAACCCAAGTTCGATTCTCGACCACTGAACTTGAATAGGAATTTAAAATGCCGACTTACTGTGTGCTCGGGCAGTGAAGGAAGTCGCGGATGCTCTATTAAACGAATATGCATGTTTGTAAAATTAAAAACGTTTCTATGATAAATGATTTCCGCTCGCACGCATTGGGACAGCGCTAAATACATTTCGCTGTTCCAAAAACTTCTGAAATAGGAAGTCCGTGCTAAGCTTTGGGTCCTATACAGCTGTAACTCTACTTTTTTGTTATACGCGATATTTAGAGCTGTAAAAATACAAATGCCAATATAAGTTCTAATTTATAAAAAAATGTATTATTGACCTGTGTCTCCACAACGTAACGCACAAATTATATCTCAGGATGAAAAAAGCGCGCGAGTCTGTGAACTAAATTGCATTCATGTGAATGAAATTGTCAACACACAAAGTCAGCTGACAACCTCAAATACATCGTAAGTGCTAAGATTCTTTCCCAGATATGAACTTGCGAACACGAAAACGGGCGCAACATAGCTTTGACTGTAAAAAATTGACGCCTTCGGTGACAATGATGACCTTATAATGGACCCGGATGCTGGTCCCAGCTTATAAAAGCTTGTCTTTAAATAGATTAGTCTTCTCGTAAGTAAATTGAAATGGAAAAAATCCAGACATACTACAATTTTCTTTGTTTATGTTTAGTTTTTCGTATGTCATGTGAGAGTTGCAGATTTTGTGAACATCGTTTAGATTTACCCCCGAATAATGATAAGAAAATATTTTAAGGAAGTTTTACTTGTGTTTAAAAACTATCAAATTCAAGATATAACAATTGTGAGATGATTCTCGATAATTGAATTTTTTTACGTGGTAGAGTAATGCTGCAGCTATATTGTGGTTGTAGCAAGAATGGGTCGGCTCGACCGGGGAAGGACCACGCTCTCACAGAGTAGCTTAATACTGCTGTGTTTCGTGTGGTGAGTGTAGAGATCCGGAGACATTTTTTACTGGGAACGAGGCATTCCATCTTAGTCCTCACGGGTGACAACGCATCTGCGTTTTGATTCTTAATCGAGGATAAATGTAGATGTCTATGGGCCACAGCATCCACTTACCATCAGGTAGACTGCCTTATATAATATCATAGGTCACCACCGCATGACTGGTTTTCTTTTGGATAATATTTTTTACAATTACTGTTATTTAAACATTAGAGTTGTTATTATAATCAGGTGAACAAATTTATGGGCAGATATTTAATTTTCTAGTGGTTGGTAAATTAATACAGTAGTAAAACATGAACAGTAAAAAAAAATTGCGGTTATTTCATCCTAAAATTCAGGTTCAAAAATTATTCAAGCAGTGTAATAAATTAATGGCCAGTAAAATGATGTAATGGATAGTTAGATAAATAGTTTGGACAGTTCACGGTGAGAGGTAACACCCGAACATCACTTTGATTGAAAAGAGAGGCAATCTTCCGTCAAAAGAGCGGAACTTAAAATCTATGCTCACTGTCAAGTGTCAAAAATGCACGAAGTACTACCATAGTGAAAACAGAATAGTAGGCTTTCTTCTCAGAAATGTACCGAATGACGCTAATATGTGTGCGTGCCTGGCACGTGACAGCACGGACTCGTACGCACGAGCCACAGCACGCACACCGACACTTGCTAAGTCGGAAAGGTCTGGCCGAGTCGGGAACGCCCACCGCCGCGCTCCGCAATCACCTGTATTTGAGTTTGTTGACTTTTAATAAAATTTTGCTAGCAGTCTTTTTTCGTTTTCTTCTTTTTCTAAAATAATATGTGGATTTGTTTAAGTAAATTAGCTTTTTATTAATAGGTTATATTACTATATCGATACATACATACATACCTTATAAGTACATTAATTATCATATCACATCACATCAAATTAATTTTAAACATTAAATCTGAATTGACACCATATGCTCAGTGTTAATTTACTCGTATTTTAGATAGTTGGCATTTGTTGTAATGTAAAGCTGGATTTTTTTTTTGATAATCATTGATTCTATGAGAGGAAATTAAAGAAATCATTAACAAATATGATGCATAGGTGCGTATCTATATAATATTTTAAATATTATAACTACTTATAAAATTAAATGAGACTTAGCTGTTAAACAAAAGGACAGTGACAACCCTGCAACAATAGGCATTTAAGTCTCGCGCAGCGCGGGAGGCTTCCTACTATTTTGTTTTTACTTTGGTACTACTTACGTAAGTAATTTTTATGCATTCCGCCTTGCGTGAATGTCTGTTCTCCGGTGTATTATAATTGTAGCTTTTATCGTGCCAAGAAATACTTGAGCACCCACAAATATATTTAGTTGTAATAGATTAGAAGGTTGTGGCAAGAGCGAAGCGCAAGGAAGCGCAGAGTAGCTCCCGCTACAACCTTCGTGGTTATTTTTTACCACCCAGAATTAATTGAGCACCCAGAAATGCCTTCAGTTGAAATAGGTTAGAATACTACGCTGCGCTTGCTCCCGCCACAACCTTCAAGCAACAAGTAACCTTCAGAGCACTCGGAAATCCTCACAGTTGTGATAGGAGACAACTCCCCCCCCCTCCCCCTTCTCATCCCCTCCTGAATAAATATTATAATTTTGAGGTTAGGTCTATGGGATTTTCTTTTAGATTGTTCTCAAGAACCGTACATTACCTTTCCCCCTCCCCCTCCTACCAAAAAATTTATTTTTTAACCATTTTTACTTTACACGCTAAAATAAACAAGGGATACATTTTACTGCCTCATTTTTTTAAAACTGTTTAGATTTCTTACCGATTAATTCCGATGTTTAACTGTCCACTAATAACTGCCCGTTTACATATTTTTTACGAATCATTTCTATTTAGCTTACTGCTCAGTTTATACTGCTGAAATTTTTAATAAACAACCATTTTGTAATTTTTATCTCACCAATTTTACAATATTCAACGGCCGCATCATGTCCTAAAATATTTGACACTTAAAGAAATTCCTCGCCAATTAAATCTGCCATCGGAAGTCTTGTGTTAAAATTAACGTTATGAAATTGACGATATATTTTATACTTAATAAAATATAATCCTTGAATCTCATTTTCAATAATATTTGCAGATGGTTTCATGACGGCTGCTGCGAATGCATCGGTGAGAAGTGTCTCTACTACGGAATCAATGAGAGCAGGTATGTACCATCTGGTCCATTTCTTGATATAAACCATCGCGCGGCGGGATTCATGACCACGGAGTAAACAATTGGATTTAAATAGAATTCCTGTAAGCGTGTTTGATACGCATCGTCGATTTTTTTTTTGCGGTTTGTATTTTACAACTGTTTATCTCACCAGTTTAGTGTGTATATAAAATAAAGACCTTTCCAAAATACAATTGTCTAATTCGGAAATAATGAAAGTTATTTTTAGCTAACTTATATCTATTGATATCTAGTATCTTAGAAGAATATTTCATCATCATCATCATCATCATCATTTACAGCCCTTCACAAGTCCACTGCTGAACATAGGCCTCCCCCAAGCAATGCCACAAAGCACGTTCCCGAGCCACCTGCATCCATCGACTTCCTGCATGTCTTACCAAGTCGTCACTCCATCTAGTGGGGGGTCGCCCTACACTACGCCTACCGGTACGAGGCTGCCACTCGAGAACCTTTCTTCCCCATCGGTTAGGTTGTAAACCGGGAGGTACGTCTCTGATCCGTAAGTCATCACTGGCAACACGCGCTGGTTGTACACTTTAGTTTTCAGAGATTGAGGTATACCTGACGAGAAGATGTGTCGTAATTTCCCGAACGCTGCCCAACCGAGTTGAATCCGTCGATTGACCTCTCGGTCGAAGTTGGACTTAACTAGTCGGAATATTTGTCCCAGGTAAACGTACTCGTCAACAACTTCGAGCATAGTGCTCCCAACAACTACCGGCATAGGTGTGACATGGACATTAAACATGATCTTTGTTTTGTCCATGTTCATCTTAAGACCTATCCGTTGGGAGACACCATTGAGGTCATTGAGCATAGTGCTAAGGTCCTCCAGGGATTCTGCCATAAGGACTATATCATCGGCCTTACTGTCCTATAGATACCGTATCCTTTCCGGTCCAGTAGCTTGAAAACGTCTTCCAACGCAGCGGTGAAGAGTTTCGGGGATATAACGTCACCCTGTCTTACACCTCTCTGCAGTTGGATAGGATTCGAACTCTGGTTCTGTACTCGGATAGCCATCGTAGCCCTACTGTACAAACACTTCAGCACAGAAGAATATTTATCAACTAATAAATTAATTTGTCATGTATCATTTAATTTGTAATGTATGCACACAAAAATAAGAGTAGTTTTACAAAATTAAGCTATTTCTTCTGGAAATACTAGAAACAGACACAAGCTAGTAGTACCAGTTACTCGATTTCACCGAGTCAGTAATTTATTATTGGAGCGATGAATATGCTTTTACAACAAAAACCCAGAAAATATACAAAATTTGACCTGCACAAAGTTCAAAAACTTTATAGATAATAATTCCTGCGACACCTTTCCCATCATCGCTACCAAACTCTTTCTAATTTGTTTTGTGTTGTTAATTGTAAAATACATTATTGTAAGCTGTTTTTTTTTTTTGAAGTCCCGCTGGGTTTCTTGCTGAGGGTTTTTCCGAACCAGTGGTAAATTAAAAAAGGCACGACTTTTATTAAGTATTATTTATAATATATATTGAATAAAAAGTTTCTGTTTCTGTTACCGTGTAGGCATACCTCCAATGTTATAATAATGTCCTTCAGACAGAATTTCGGTCACCGCGGCCACAGTCTCATCGGCTACTAGCCGGCACTGGCAGGTTTTATTACCCGAGTGTATGCGCAAGCACAGATGCACTCCATTCCCTCACACTCATAGTCCGAATGGATGGCAATAATCAGGCAATAATAGGCGCATGACCACAGTTTTCCGTTTCACGTGCTTTCCGAGGCACGAGTTGGAAACACGACCAACTTCCTGACTCCAGGCTGCTGTTGAGAATTTCTTGACAGAAAAACTCTTCTTTACACCTATTTAGGGACTTCATTATCGGCAGATGCGCTTGCTTGATCATTAGACCAACGAGGTAGTCATTATAATAATATACCCTTTTTACTGGAAACGAGGCATTCCATCTTAGTCCTCACGGGTGACAACGCATCTGCATTTTGATTCGTAATCGAGGATAGATGTAGATGTCTATGGGCCACAGCAACCACTTACCATCAGGTGGACTGTGTGCTCGTTTGTCACCCTATCCTATAAAAAAAAATACAAAGTAGTGTACTTAATATACATAGGTTAACAAAATAGTAATGTAGATGAGCAATGTCGAATAAAATAAATATAATAAAATAAAATAATAAATAAATATCAATGCACTGGCCATGAATAATGTTTTGCGCAATGGAAACCTAATTTGTTTTTGGATCTGGTTCGGAAATTGTGGAAATGTATTCGAAATTAGATCGAATTTATGTTATTCTTTTAGTTAATCTCGCATTCAATGTAATTAATTACTCAAAGGTACAAAATATTCCATACAACCGGAAATTGACCCACTACGCTCACACAGGTTGTTTCGTATGGTAGTGCAGAGAACCGAAAACCCTTTTAACTCGAAACAAAGCATTCTATCTTAATCTTCAACTGTGGCAACGCATCTGCATTTTGATTCTTAATCGAGGATAGATGTAGATGTCTATGGGTCACAGCAACCACTTACCACTAGGTGGACTATGTGCTCGGTGGTCACCCTTATACTACAAAAAAATCTCGTTCACTTATGACAGTATAGAGATGACTATATAAAGTATATTGAGGGTTATTCGGCAAAATAGAATCATATTGCACTTTCATCAGAAACTATCAGTCTTTAAAAATCAACTAAATTTTAGTTTATCATTATAACCGAATTGTAACTTTTAAAATTATGTTATTGTTGATTATAATGAACCATTTTGACCACATCAACTACCAAAAATTTTCGTAATTTTTAACTGTTAAAAACATAATAATAGGCGTTTACCTATGAAATTGCCGTTCTGCAGTACTGGCCATTTGAAATCAAAAATATTTTTGTTTGGCTAAAAAATTCTAATTTAAAATTAATTTTATTTTTAAAGCATGGAATTCTTTTTTTTCAAAATTAGCCTCTTGTTTACTGATTAGCGTTATATTTTCATTGCATTTGAATCTTTTTCGTTATCATGGATTCGTTAAAAATTCGAGGTATTATGAAATATGAGTATCGTCGTGGGTGCAACGTGTCGTAAGCGGCATGCAACATCAACGACGTTTACGGAGCGAATACTACAAAAGAATGCACCAACTATTATTGGTTTGTCCGCTTCCGTTTTAGAAATTTCAACCTGAAAAATAAAATCTTCGGATGACCACGGGGTGAAAACTTTTGCCGACATTGATGAATTAAAGGTGATTGTGAAGCTGATGATAGTCAATCTACAGCTAAATTAGCAGCAGCTTTCGACGTTAGCATCAAAACTATATTGGTCCATTTGCGTCAAATTGGCAAGGTAAAAAATCTTGACAAATGGTTGCCCCACGGACAGGCAAACGAACGAAGGAGTTTTGAACCGCATTGTTATCTGCGACGTAAAATGGATTGTTTGACAATCGCAAGCGCACAGCGAGTTGCTTGGATCCTGGTTGAGTACCTAAACAATGCCCTAAACGAAAACTTACCCCTAGAAATGTGATGGTCACGATTTGGTGGTCTAGGGCAGGTGAATTTCATCACAGCATCTTACCAAACGCGATGAGAATTACTGCAGATGTATACTGTGAAGAAGTGAACACAATGATGGAGAAGCTCGCACGTCTCCAACCAGCTTTGCTCAATCGCTCGTCCCCGCTGCTCCTGCACGACAACGCGCGACCTCATACTGCACAACAGATGTTCTCTAAGTTACAAGAGCTGGGGTTGGAAGCTCTTCGTCATCCGCCGTACTCACCAGACATTGCGCCTATAGACTTCTACTTTTTCCGGAATTTGGATAACTTTTTGTCGGCAAAAAATTTTAATACCCGAGAGGCAGTACAAAATGCCCAGCTGATTTCTTCAAAAAGGGCATCAATAAAGTGCCACTGCGTTGGCAAAGATGCATCGTTTTGATTAATGGAAATAAAAAATATAGAAGCAAAACCTAAAATAAATACTTATTTCATTAAGAAACGGCAATTTCGTAGGTAAAGACCTAAAAATATAGTGATACAACAGGCATCGCGATTGAGTGAAGCTCAGATGCACAGACGACGTGAGATATACAGCGGCAGATTGTAACATTTGAAGTTGAAAAAATATAAAAGATATTCCATAGTAATAAGTTATCGTATACAACGTCATATCCGAATGAAATTACTTTAAACCGGTGTAAAACTACACACCTGGTGACAAGGTCGCTTGCTTTAAATTTTCATATAGATTTGCTGTGATATGTATTAAATATTATAAAATAATGTTGAAGCGCGTTAGTTAATATCAAGTTACCGCCAGGTGTTCTATTTTAATTATGATGTCATTTTAAATATTTTTGACATGTTTTACGAGTTTAAACAAATATATTGAATTGTATTAAAAATATTGTATTGTATTATGAGCGCATGTGTTCTTACTCTACAATGGATGATGATTACCTAAAGGTACAACTGTGCAGTTTAAAATTTAAACCTTTGTGAGATTTTATACGGTTTCCCACTTAACCACCGATACTCTTACTGTGTAGGGGCAGTATAAGAATATCTATTCACTAGCCCATATCATCTCGTGGGTGTCGTAAAAGGCGACAGAGAGAAACAAATACCATGAGATAGGCAGCAGTGTCTATAAAAAAATAAAAATAAACTGTGATTGCTAACCCGCTTGCTAAGTGTGACGACTATGGCAAATATCCCGCTTGCTAAGTGTGCCGACTATGGCAAATATCCCGCTTGCTAAGTGTGACAACTATGGCAAATATCCCGCTTGCTAAGTGTGCGCAACTATGGCAAATATCCCGCTTGCTAACTGTGACGACTATGGCAAATATCCCGCTTGCTAAGTGTGACAACTATGGCAAATATCCCGCTTGCTAAATGTTGCAAATATGGCAAAATCCCCCCTATGAGGCAACCTATGGGGGAGGTCTATTTTCGGCAGTTAATTTTAATAGCCTGTAATGAATACGATTTCCCATCATTAATCTGCCGGGATAGGAGTGTGGTAATATAAAGTTTAATTGGGTTGTCCTAAACCTTGAAATGAGGGGAGGTGGCTTATATTGCTCGGTTCAGTAGGTAAACTGTGTGTAGTCTGTACATTACAGTTGATGTTTGGATTAATTTTAATTATAAATTCATTATGGAATTTGTTAACCTCTTTACAGATGTCTGTCCTGTCCCGGTGGCAAGGAGACCGCGGTTAATTCTTTAGAAGACGACTTGAATTATGACGATCTTGACTACGGAGAGGATGTGGACGCTCAATCTGTATAACGATTATATTATGACGAGGAATTATATTCAAGTTGTTCTCAATTTGATTTTTTAAATGCCTACTATCAGTATACTAGAGTACATTTTAGGTTAATATCGCTTGGTGTTAAGTGAAGAAATATATTAAATAAAAAAGAGTAGAAAGTTCGTTTTTATATAATAATTCGAAAGGAAAAAAAAAACAAAATAACTGACGGATTAAATATCCGAAGTAAATAAATACCCAGTCTTTTGATGTTTAATCGACTCTCTATTATTAATTTGACTTTTTGATACAGATAGGTACGTTTAGTGTTAAGCTATTTGTCGTCGTAGCGTAGGTATTATTTACTTTATTGTAAGATTATTTAAAATAATTAAATAAATAAAGCTGCTTATTAAAAAGCCATGATATACAAACTTAAATTTAATAATATTTATTTACCTATTTAAAAGATAGTGCAGTTGAGTTTAAAGCTTAAATGTTACAGTGAGACGTATGCGTAATGTGTATATTTTTAATGCTATGGATCAACGATCAAACATTTCTCACAAATCTGTATTGCTTGTGAGTGTCACACCGTCAATAATAATGAATTAACGTAACCTGGTATGCGAGGGAATAATGTAGTATATTCTATGTATTGTACTACTTTTAATACTTGACGTACCGACGCTTGAAATATCGATTTTATTTGCTCATTTCCCAGTACATGAAGTATTTCCCAGTATAAACTTTTACAGTTATGTTATACACCTTGTTAACATTTTAGTTTAATACACATCACTAATGTTTGTTTATTAGATATTTATTCATATTAGTCTTTACAATGTATGTATAATTAGTTGGTTTTAATATAATTTTGAAATACCTAATATATCATTCTACCCATGCTAAGCCTGTGTATCTCTTAGAATGATAGAGTAGTGGATAGAGTGATTGAACACTATCCACTACAAAAAATAAAATTAAATGAACGTCATATAAGTAAATATTTTGAACAAACTGTATTAATAAGGAATTAGCTTTAATTGAATGTAGCCCCCATTTTTTTGTTTTAACATACTGAAAATAAGAATATAATTGGGATATATATTAAAAATAATTCGGTTTCCATAAATTAAATCGCTTGTGACGCTTTAACTATCTATTACTCCGTAGTATATTTTCTTATCCGTCCGTATTCTAGCATAAGCTTAATAATGTCTATAAATAAGTACTCTCTTTAAGAAATATGAGTTTTTGGAATATACTAAAGCGTTTTCGTTATAAAAATATTTTTTTTTAAAGTTAAACCACATAACAGTTATATTATGTGGTTAAACTTTTTTCACAATAAGTTATTATTCAATCATAAAATTGATGTTTACTGTCTGTGATTTTGCGAATCTTACATTTTTAATTTTAACATTTTTGATACGTACTATTTCTATTTTGCAACGGCTGACAAAGCAATATAACATTGATTTTTAAAACTCAGTAAACTTATAAAGGACTTAATTTAATATTTTAAGAAACAATTTTTATGTACCTTCATATTTCTTAGATTATATTTTATTAAAGATCTGTTTATAATTACTAAAGTCTCCAGGTGCCAAATGGTTTGCTTGTACAAAATCATGTCATTATAATATTGTAAGATGACTTTTTTTTTTAAATAATACCATATTTAACAATCTAACCTGAGGAACAAAAGCAGTGTTTAAAGTAATAAACAGAACAGATAAGATTGCACGAATGCAGAAGATTTTACTCTATAAAAAATCCTTATTGCACAAACTAGAACTGTTCATTTCTAATCGACTAGACCGTAATTTTAGATTATAGATATCGTTTTTTACGCTAACTACGTCTTCTGGAATGATCACTGACTTATGAACGCTTTACTTTGTCGCAAATATATTTGTCTTCTACACTTATAGTATTCAAGTAAAAAGTAAACATTTTACGATACACCCATAAACCGTATTATTTTTTCCGCAAAATATAAGAGGTCGTGTTTACAAGGCCTTAAAAATAACATTAAAACAATATATTTAGATAATTTTGTGATAAACAAATCTTACGATTTAAACTATTTTTTATTTTAGTATTGTAAGTATACTTGTTAAAATAATAAGGAATCAATTCGCCATATTATACTTGTGTGCCTTATATTTTATAGTTAAGTGTCTTTTATAATTTTTCTATACTCCTGTAATTGAGATTATAAATAATTAAAATAAATAATCATCTCATCAAAGGTGTTTCCTTGTCAAACAATTTGATGTCATATCATGTAATAAATAAGAGCCGTGGTAGCTCAGATGGTTAACGCTCGCTGTAAATATGACAGAATGCGAGTAACCCGGGTTTGATCCCCGCCGGCACCAATGAAATTGTTAATTGCAATTTTAAGTGCTGATTTACCACGTGCTCGGCGGTGAAGGAAAACATCGCGAGGAAACCTGCATGTCTGAGGAATAAAAAAAATATTTCGAAGACATGTGAAGTTCGCCAAAACGCATTGGGTAATAAATTATTTATATTTGAACGGAAAAAACTTTCCTTGCAATTTAACTACTCTTCCACTAGTCAATTTCTTCAATCCTTTGTAGGTGCTGTTGTTTTCAATAAATAAAGTAATATTATACGTCCGATGCAAGGATTTTATCTAAGGTATCAAGATATGAGATGCCGTTTTTTTAAAGGACTTGAAATGCATAAGTTGTGAATTCATAAGCTTTATTACTTAGTTATTTTCAGAACTATATTATTCAGAAATTTCGGTCTGCAACGATGTTTGGACAAAATTTTTTTCGTTCATTTGATCAGTCCTAAATAATACAATAAAACACATTACGAATTGCGTCAAAAAAAAAAACAGTGTAAATAATAGCGACCACAATGGCTACAAAAGTGCTTTTTGTAGCTATTGTAATTGTTCAGATTTTAAAACCAAATTCCCGATTTTTACCTGGCGACACTAACGAAGTGAACATTGTAATGTGCGTCAATATTTACGCCGTTCCAAATCGATCGCGTAGATTTTGACTTGCGCATATTTGAATATAGCGTATATTAGGCATATTATATTGTAACAACCCTGATAATAGGTGAGCGGAGAAAAATAAACCACGTTTAGAAGTTAACTATAGTCATCATGGTACCTCGACATGCATATTATGCATGCACAATGCAACTTAAACGCCAGAACGATAGAACTTAAATATCAAATCTATTGTTTTTTTTTTATATTTAAACACTACCACAGAATAAATAATAGTACAAGAACAAAAGGATCACCCTCTGTTAACAAACTTGCGAGTTACCTAGTTACAACGTCGCATATTAATAATACTTTGCACGCCTCTGAAGCGACCTTCGTGAAATTAGCCTACTGATTAAATCATGTAATATATATCTTAATATATATAAATTACGTGGCACGTTGTTTTTCCCCGATGGACTCCTAAACTACTTAACCGATTTTAATAAAATTTGCACACCGTGTGCATATATATATATATAGACCTATCTATTTTATAAATTATAATGACAAAAGGTTTCTATTATAATTGTTGCGTGGATTGATACTATATCACCAACGAAAGGTTTCAAATATTTAATATTAGTATATAATACCTAAGTAATTTATTACAAAAATTTATTGAAATTTACTTCACTGTCCAAGTATCTACTTACTACTACTATACTTGTCTTTTGTAATTAAAATGTTTTAAGTTATAATAACACAAACTACTGAAGTTAAAACTTTGTTTACTAACAAGATTTTTAACTACATCTTTAACTATGTTTAACTACATTTTTAACTATGGTAGCGGAGTTATTAAAACGCAACACTACCCCAGGAGGATACCAGCATCCCTAGTGACGGAGAATCCCTCGCTGAGCATCTACACCTAAGCTACCCTACTCTTCCTGAGCGTGGGTGATCAGGCTGCCCCGTAACTGGCAAACGAAGCAATATTTCAAAAGCGATCTGTCCATCCTATGGCTGCGCGTAGACAGCGACGATCATCCCCGCGTCTACGGCTGCCTCTATAGGTCCCATAGGGGTAATGCCGACACAGACCGACTGATCGATCACGTCCAAATTGGATACAGATCCGTGCTATAAAAGATTTCTTATCCACAGAGATCGAATGCTTGGTGATTTTAACGCCCACCACGCTCAATGGCTTGGTACCTGTTTAACCTATCATGCAGGTAGATCTGTTTATGATTTGGCATATGGTCTAACACAACTGCTTACCTCGCCTACGCGGATCTCAGATGTGGAAGATTATGTACCTTCCCTGTTGGACCTTCTGCAATTATGACTTCTCATCCGGATGGATATCAGGTCTCCGTCGATGCGCTTCTTAGCTCCTCAGACCATTGTCTGATCCGGAGTACTATGTCACTCTGCACTGCGGTTGCGTTCTCAGGTTGTTGCCGCGTTTGGTATTACAGGTCAGCCGATTGGGACGGGGTGCGATCTTTTCTTGGCAACCTTAACTTGCGGGCGGGTTTGCTTCTCGCCATATAATCCCAGCGTTGTTGCTGATACTGTCGCTGATATACTACAGGGAATGGAGCTTTTTATTCCATCATCTGTGGTACCTATCGGAGCTATGGTTTAGTGGTTTGTCACTCCTGCAAAATTGCATTACGCTACAAGCAGGAGTGCTACCATGCCCAGGCTGACGCATTGACGTCTCGGGATGCAAATACCAACGCTCTTAAAAAGAAGAACAATTCCGCCATCAGGTGCTCCAAAAATGTCATTGCCAAGGCAAAGACAGAGCACATCGGCAGAATTGGCGAGAAACTAGTTCGACTTCCTAATTTTCCTCGTCCTTCGGGAACACGTGCATGGTCTGTTCTGTGGTCTGTCTGGTCCCTCCCCAAGGCTGGCCAAGGGAACTTCTGTCAGCCATATCTCCCATCTCTACATCGGAAGGACGACTCCCTCGACCATGCCGCAAAGGAGAATGCTGATCTGCTGGGCTCTTTCTTTGCTTCCAACTCGACTCTA